CTCAGAGTAAATTTTCTTTCCTCAGCAAAAATAATCAGGGAATATGTGAAGAAACCCCGGCTTTTTCATGGATAAAATGTTTTCAGTTTTGAAGTGTATATATTAAATTTTTGCTTAGATGAAGATGAATGTTCTGATTCAACACACCGCTGTCCTTCAGAGACAAATTGCAGAAATACAAATGGATCTTATCAATGCTGTGAAACACAAAGTTCCGGAAATGGTTTTATTTGCAAAGGTGACATAAAGATTCTTATATGGCGCCATCAACCATTGTTGAAGAGTCATTAAGTCCCGGATTATAAACGTCGCAATTACTTTACACAAATCTTATAGTGATAAACCTCAGATGTTTAATGATCGATTGTTTTGATACGAAGAAATATTTTTCCCTTTACACACGGCACGAAATTATGGCATGATTAAAGCAAGCATTTTAATTGTTCCAAATCGTAGCCTGCTGTATTTTCCAACTTTCACTCTCTCAATTTTTAGATAGAACTCTCAGGTTACGAGGACCATTAAGCTTAAATGGTACTGGTCGTTTGGAAATATTATATTCAGGAAAGTGGGGAACAATTTGTGATGATAATTGGGACATATATGATGCTCGCGTTGCATGTCGTCAACTTGGTTATCGGAATGCTCTTAGAGCTCTTCGAAGATGGGAAGTTCCTGCTGGTTCAGGGCAGATTTGGTTGGACGAAGTTCGGTGTACTGGGACTGAACAAAATTTAGAAAGTTGTCCTCACCACTATTGGGGATGGGGAAGACATGACTGTAGACATTATCAAGATGCTGGAGTGGAATGTACTTCACAAGGTAATTAACGATAAAAGCGCTTTGTGCATGAATGCGTTATTGGATTTTACATCCGCGAGTTCATAAACAGGGAACGAGAAGTTCAATACTGCACAAGGCGAAGCTGGCTGCAGTATTGATATGAACTCCGAGCATCTTGTTTATGAACTCGTGCATGTTAATTCCGAAAACGCACGAAAAAAGAGTGCTTTAAATCTTTCAATATTCACTTTAAGTATAAAACAAACAAAGACCTAAATAAATAACGCATGCATTTTTTATTTATATGACACGGCAGAAAATGACTTTCAAAACTAAAAATACCGTGCCTTTGTTGCCTTAAAGGTGCATTTTTTTTCTATTAACTTGGACACAAAATGCAGTTTCATCCATTGAATCCACGGAAGTATGAGCTCCGAAAATAGAGAAAAAGAGCTCCGCAATTTTGACATTTACGGCGTTTGCTTAGCTGCTAATAAACTTTGTGTTTTAACTCCGCTATATCTTAAGGTGTGCAACAATTTCGCTAAATTACAAACGTTCTAAAAAAACTCGTAATTTTCAGCAGTAGCTAATGTAAGAAAGCAATGCACTGCTTCTCATGTATTTCATGCTTTAGCAATGAAAGAAGCAAATTTCGCGTGGGCGCTAAAGTCTATTATTATGTTTCTATATTATATAGCAAAAATCATTTTCTTATTTCAAGAAAAAAAAACTCATTTTAAGAAAATTTTCTTAAATGAGTTCAATTTTCTTGGGAGAATAATAAGAAAATTTTCTTACTTTTTTTCTTAAGAATTTTTTTCTTAAGAAAATTTTCTCAAAATAAGAAAAGTTGCACACAAATAATTTCTCAGTTTAAGAAAATTTTCTTGAAATTAGTCCAAAATTTCTTATAGAATGTTCATAATCAGAAAAATTTTCTTAAGAAATTGTTCTTAATATAAGAAATATTTCCAAGAAAATATTTTCTTATAATAAGAAAAGTTAATTCTCAAGAAACCCTAGAAACTCTGACATGATTTTTGTTATAAGTAAGAATGTAATGTAAATTTACTAAAATATTCATGAGTCAGAATATAGAATACACAGCAGACATTAATACATGAGATTATAGGCCCTACATGATTTTTAGAAATACAGAGAATGATATATATAATATTGCACCACGGCTTTGAAGGTTTTGTATTTGTCCAGTGTTTATTTGACATGTTTTTAAATTCATTATTGCAGTACAGATCAATAATTGCAAAAGGATTTTTGTGGTGCTTAAAATCAGATGAGACATCATCAGATAAATTTGAGAGTAAATAATTTAAAATTGGTGAGAAGTAAATCCTAAGTTCACACTTAAATTAGAATAAACTTTGCAATCATGTTAGGAATTGAGTTCATCAACAAAAAATACTGGTAAATGTAATTTAGCTACTCTGGGGAATTTTAAGCTATTCTTTAGCTATCGCTTGCAATACCGCCATCTTTAAGAAAACTACTTTAAGACCATTATCAAATACACCCATCCTTCAACCCATTCTACACTGCTTTTCTACCTCCCTATAATAGTTTAAATTCCAATCAATTCACCATGAAACTGCATGTAATTAATTCAAATAATATATAGATAGAGGCCTTATCCAATGAAATCAAATGGTGTTATTCCAAAAATTGTCCCTAACAAAGTGTGTATGGATAAATGTATCTGAAGGCAAAATAGAGAGCTTTTGATAATTTTAATGATATAGGCAGACTCTGATGCACAATTTATACCCTTTGGAACAGTCGCAACCCTACTGGGAAGCACTGTTACATTTAATAACCCGTCTGGATTTAGTATCAATCTGAAAATACAACTCAACTCTAATCCTACATTTCAAACAAAGACATTATAAACACTGCCATATGCTGCAAATTGCTGAGGAATTCTAAGGTATTGTTTAGCTATCCCTGCTATAGCCAACTATTTGACTATAAAAACAGGTAATAACATGGAAAATCATAGCGCAAATCATTAAAGGATGAAGAAAGACCTAAATACAATTCTTGACCTATAATAAGGTGGAATAAAGGCTAACGAAGGCTAACAAATAAAGGCTTATACGTTGTATATAATAACACACTCGATCAGCATGTTGGCATATGATCAAAACATGAACATCACTCCTTATGAAATACAAATTTGCGCCGATTATGTTATTTTCTCACATCCTAAACGTCCATATCTTTATCGGTAATATATAAAGTTATAACAAGATACAAATGCCATATCCGCCATAAAAAGCAATATTTCTTTAATATGCGTTAATAGCGTTATAGGTTGTTTCGTTAAGTATTCAAATTTCCCTCGTGGTCTACGCTAGAAAGGCATAATGGGATAAATGGAATAATCAGGCTCTGCGTCAGGCTGGACCATTAATTATCAGTATTAAACCTTTGAATGCTTTGAATTATCTCACGCTGGATTTCTGTAATGAAAACAGCATTTGCAAACATTATATTATGACTTTGTTCTATTTTAACAGTTCTTGACCGAATATGTCACGCCATGCTTGTAAAGTGCAGTAAGAAAAGCTTCATTGTTGACTAAGGGCACTTTACTCATACTGATAATTAGCTAAATTGATATCATCTAATGAGCAGAACGAACAACAATAAAATATGAACCATATAACTTTTTGAAATCAACAAACTTCGACCATAAGTAACATTTGAAACACAAGTAATTTTGAAGTTTACTCTCAGCTGAAATTCTTCAAATTTAATGCGAAGAGCATTTTCTTAGTTTAAGAATATATATTTCTTATAACAAGAAATTGATATCTCAATATTTTCTTAAGAAAACAATTTCTCATTTTAAGAAAAACATTTTCTTATGATAAGAAAGTGATATCTCTGTATTTTCTTGAGAATAATTTTCTTATTTCAAGAAAATGTTTTCTCAAATTAAGAAAAAAAAATTCTTAAGAAAATATTTTCTCAAAATAAGAAAATTATTTCTTGAAACAAGTAAATATTTTCTTAAAACAAGAAAATTAAATTTCTTAAGAAATTCATTTTTTGCTGTATATACTGTTTATTATAGATATCGACTATTGTTTTATGGGCCGATTGCCCAAATGTAGGCGTTATTCTCATTGTGTTAACACTAACAATGGCTATACATGCAGATGTAATAAAGGTTTCATCGGGAGCGGGTTTTTCTGCAATGGTGAGTGATATATAATGCTAATAGAACGAATATTATATGATTGCAATTGAAACAAAACCCACTTTCAAAAGAACTGGGGAGAGCATTGAGGAGTGAGAAATTCCTTAAACATCGTATTTTTTAAACATTTGTCATAAGCTAGTATACTTTTTTCATTGATCAAATAACTTTCAATAACGAACTATCCCTTTTTTAGCAAACATTCGTACTAGCGTACATTTTTTAATTGACCAACTCAACTTTGAACAACGAATTTACCTTTTCTACGCAGAGATCTTAGTAATCCAAATCATCTAACTTTATGTAATAACAAGCGAGATACCAGATTTATTCATGAAAAATTTGAAGAATTTGAACGAGGCAAAAAAACTTTTTCGCCGATGTGGTTTGTGAATAAAACGGCGTTGTTTTGGTGCCGCAATTTTTTAAAATTGGAAACTCTTGGCTTTCCTGACGGCCTTCAATTAGACTTAAAGATTGCGACCAAATTATTGTTCCAATATTTCTAGAGTTTACTAGTGCTAGCCCCGCAACTGCGCGTGTTTGTGATACCATAAATTTTAATATAATTAAATGAGTTATCAATAAAATGAGCTCCAAATTTTTATTAGAGCAATGACGAGTGGTAATATCTTCTCTAGACAAAAATGAATGTTCAACATATGAATGTTCAACATATGAATGTTCAACAGTAATTTCAATATAATATTTCCCCCTAGACATCAATGAATGTGTAACAGCAAACAACTGTCACTGGGATGCTTTTTGCACGAACACTTATGGGTCTTATCGATGCACATGCAATGGTGGATTTAAAGGAAATGGGACCTTCTGCGAAGGTATTTGTTTCATTATGATTACTTTCGACTAAAGTGAATAAATATTCTCTAATCAGTAATAAATTGAGTACAAACATCGAGATAAACAAGTTTTTTTTGGCATGGGTAACGTTTTCAGTTTTAAAACGTGAATATTTGACATTTTTGCTTATTAGATATAGATGAATGTTCTGATTCAACACACCGCTGTCCTTTGGGGACAAGTTGCAACAATACTAAAGGATCGTATCAATGCTGTAGAACACAAAATTCTGGAAATGGTTCTGTTTGCAGAGGTGAACTTAAAATACAATTCCTTTACTGCGGTATTTTTCTGAAAGTTCTTAAAGGAAATCCTATGTGTCATTTCTCGTTTTGGCACCTTGTTAAAATAAAAGATTGGTGTTTTGTAATAAGTTTTTAATAACCCTGCTTATATAACGCGACTTGATTGCAGTATATTGCCAAATAAAAAACAAGCTTTTATCAACTGTACTCAAAAATTCCTGACAACAAAATTAGAAATAATCAGAATGATATTATAAAAATAAATTTTCTTCACGCGGTAACTTCATAACGCATTCATGCAGCTTTTTCCAGTTAATTATGTAGATAAAGTCTGTCATTATGAACATCTATTGTGTCTAAACAACCAGTAACTTTTTTGACGAATCGTTGGTCGTTGCCGTTATGCAATTTCGCTTGTGCCTGACTCCACTGTTAAACTCTTCCTCGCAGACGCGTCGGTTATAATTTATCAAAATTCCTGGTGGCAATTCAGAGGCGCGATAGGACAGATTAATATAGTAAAGTTTGAGTCATGGGTAATTGTGGTATTTAGTGGGGTGCATCATGACCTGCTGGATTTTCTAACTTTCAGTGTCACAATTTTAGATATGACTCTCAGGTTACAAGGACCGTCCAGGTTAAACGGTACTGGTCGTGTGGAAATCTTACACAGAGGAAAATGGGGGACAATCTGTGATGATAATTGGGACATAAATGATGCTCGCGTTGCATGTCGTCAACTTGGTTATCGGAATGCTCTTGGAGCTCTTCGAGGATTGCAAGTTCCTGATGGTTCAGGACAGATTTGGCTGGACGAAGTTGGTTGTACTGGGAGTGAACAAAATCTAGAAAGTTGTCCTCACCACTATCGGGGATGGGGAAGACATAACTGCAGACATTATCAAGATGCTGGAGTGGAATGTACTTCACAAGGTAATTAACGATAAAAGCGCTTTGTGAATGCGTTATTGGGTTTTACATCCACGAGTTCATAAACAAGGAACGAGAAGTTCAATACTACACATAACAAAGCCGGCTGCAGTATTGATATGAACTCCGAGCATCTTGTTTATGAACATTATAACGATGCTGGAGTGGAATGTACTTCACAAGGTAAAATAATTTGTTATTTGTTTAGATTAGAGAGTTATTTTTCATTTGATAATCAAGCTAATTATCAAGGAAAAACTAAATTACTGTCTTAAGGCTTAAGCTACAATACAAGAAGATTAGCTTACAAGGCTAAGATATTTTAAGTAAATTAATTTAGCTTGTAAGTACACAACGTAAGTATTTAATACCGCAAAGCTTTCGGTCGGTTAACCCGTGCCTTCATCAGTGCAATAATCAAAAATTAGTTGTGTAATTGTGTTTTCAGGTAATTGCACTGGTGCAGGCCCGGGTTAACGGGTCGAATGCTTTGCAGTATTAAATACTTACGTGGCCTACCTACAAGCTAATTTACTTATTGATGTCACCATGCAAACATACTAGCTAGAATATCACCTTTTCCAGAATATAAAAACGTAAGTATCTTTAAAACTTGAACACATTACCAAATTCTGCTGTAATTTTAAATTTTAATTGTAAATTAGAATTTTAAATTCGTAGGACAAAAGTGTTCATTTCAGAATTTAATCCACGCATTATTAAGCTCCTAAATTATATAATATGTATTTCAATTTAATAATTTTATTACGTTTGATTTGCATGACTGGTTTTTTATATTTTATTTCTTAGAAAATTCACTAACTCTCTCTAAAAATCTTGAATTTATCGGGTTATTTTTTCTTACTAATCTGTAGTTATTTATTGTTCGTTAATCATCGGCGCGCAATGGCGGCGTTAGTCGTTTCATTGCGATGCTCGTTTCACTTGTTACAAAATCCCACACGCTATGGAAACATGGCTTAGGACGAAGCGGTCGCATGTATATTGTATTTTACATTGCTGGTAATCAAACTTTTGTCGAATGGTCGAATTTTGTTCTTAAGAATATCCGATTTTTTAATGATGTAATTTAATATTGCAATTGGGTTGAGGGTATGATAAACATATAAGTGAAACACCTCTTTTTAGTCTTATAAGTTTTCATTATCGTTTACAGATGTTGATTATTGCTCCGCGGGGTTGGACAACTGTTGGAAGAATTCTCAATGTGTTAACACTGAGAATGGTTTTACATGCATATGTAGTCAAGGTTTTACCGGGAACGGCCTTTCTTGCTCCGGTAAGTAACATAGTTAATTTTTTATGCCAGTTGCATAAATTAAAAGCGTTGTTACACTATGCAACTTTCCTTAAAACTTTGATGCAATTCTACTGCTGAAAATTGCGTCAATCGAACGGTAATGGACCACTTGCATAATAGACCAACTTTTGATTCAGGTGACAAAAAGGGAATTTCCTAAAAGAGCATACAAAACTTAGTAAAATTGCCAAGTTTTGCTGTGAAATATTGTAAAGTGCCGCAGATATAGCCATGCGAAGTTGGCGAATTTTGTATACTTTTGTATTACGGGCGGACGCGTGTAACTAAATTAGTTACACGCTTCCAGCTGTAGTAAAAAAGTTTATATAATAACTATAGTGAAACACGCAATGTGATTGGTCAATAGGATCAGGATCAGACAATCCTGCACGCGTTTTAGACAATCCTGCACGCGAAATTTAATTTTAATAAAGTTAACCGTTGTTTCACTACAGTTATTTTATAAAACAATTAAAATAACAACGCTTTAATCCTGCACGGAAAATCATTTGGTATTCCTTTAATACAAAATTGGCAACTTCGCATGGCTATATCTTCCGTACTACTTTACCTTTTGCAACCAAACTTGGCAATTTTACTAATTTTGGTATGATCTTTTTAGCTGTTGTGATATATTTCCTGCTTGTCACCTAGATCTGAAGTTGGTCTATTATGCAAGTGGTCCATTGAGTAGCCATATTCATATATCATTCTGCTATGCCTGGCTAATTTCTTTTGAAAACCACTTCACTTTCAATAGAAACCAGGCTGGCATAACAGAATATATCAATATTCTGTCCCTCAATTAACGTTCGATTGACGCTCATGCACCTGAGGTATTTACAAATTAACATCCCTCAAAAATTATCTCTACATTGTAAGTTGGATGGAAAATTGTATAGTTTAACAGCGCCTTAAATGTAGGTTAGAGTCGATAATGTTGAGTTGCTATATCTTTTATATAATATCCTGTCCTGTAGAAGTATTTATTACTAATTCAGTTCACAATATTTCTAAGTGAACAAGAGATAAAGTTTGTGTTCAAAGAAATTCAAAGACTGCGAAATTTAGGCAACGTCATCATTGCACGAGTCCCCCAATGTTATGAGCAGAACCAATGCGCTGAGGTTGCTGTAACCTACCATATTGTAACTGTAACTTAATATGCCATTCCGGTAATTTAATTGTAATATTTTCCCCTAGACTTTGATGAATGTTCAACAAAAAACAACTGTCATTTGGATGCCTTTTGCACGAACACTCCTGGCTCTTATCGATGTACATGTAATGGTGGATTTACTGGGAATGGAATCGTTTGCCAAGGCATGATTATTTTCATACAAAATTATGATTTTCCCGGGTCTTACAACGCATTCAGGACAAACGTTGGGGAATACAGTTGTAAATAAAAATTTTTTTTTAGACATCGATGAATGTTCTGATTCAACACACAATTGTGCCTCAGAAACAAATTGCACCAATACAAATGGATCCTATCAATGCTGTAGAACAGAAAATTCTGGAAATAGTTCTATTTGCAGAGGTGACCCCAGATTATTGATGTATTGTAGCTACTCTAGCATGAGCGACGGAGTTGAAAATTCGCCTAGGTTTTGTTTTTTTTGTTTTTTTTATTATTTTTCGTCGACCCAAGTGTGCTCTGGCGCGAAATATACTAGTATTAAAAAGTGTATGTGACCGTATTTATCTACGTCACAGTTTTGTCTCCCAAGAGTTGTGGTACACCGTGCACAGCTCGAAATTTCTGACTAATTTTCCGATGTGCGATTTAATTTCGTTCGCATGATACGGCAATTTTTCCACGAGGAACAAATAAACCGTTCTTTTCATGCTGTTTGATTAAGTTTAGATTTAATTGGGGTAGGAATATATTTAGTATACATGTAGATTCTGGGCCTATTTTGATAATATCACTGATATTTCGCCGTTTAACAAGATGTGGTCGTGTACATGGGCGCGTTGACAAGTCGCAGTTTGCAAAAAATTCCAAAGTTTAAAACAAAGTGTCATGCGGTTTATTTACATTTTTAAACAATTGAACTTTTATACTTTTTAAACTACGATGTTCTGAATGTTGCGTATCAACTGTATTTTTTATGTTCAGAAGCTTTATATTGAAGACTGACACATGTGCGGCACGCCGGAGTTAACGTTTTAAAAAATATAAAAACAAAAATATATAATAATCAAACTATGTAAAAGAATAATTTTCTCTACGCCACAACCGCAAAATGCATTCGCGCGGCCATTTTTGAATCCTCCTGATAAATCCAGTCATTGATGACCAGCTATGTCTATAATTATTATATCATTTTATTGTCATTATTTTAGATAAGTCAATCAGGTTAGAAGGACCATCCCGTTTACAAGGCTTTGGGCGTGTTGAAATATTCTATTCAGGAAAATGGGGAACAATTTGTGATGATAGTTGGGACATGAATGATGCCCGCGTTGCCTGTCGTCAACTTGGTTATCGGGATGCTCTTAGAGCTCTTCAAGGAAGTCAAGTTCCTTCTGGTTCAGGACAGATTTGGTTGGACGAGGTTGGTTGTACTGGAAATGAACAAAATCTAGAAAGTTGTCCTCACCACTATCGGGGATGGGGCAGACATGACTGTAGTCATTCCGAGGATGCCGGAGTGCAATGTAGTTCACAAGGTAAAAGAGATTGTCGCTTACAGATTAGTGGATAATTAGTAATTCCAAGACCAAGATAGCTTGTTTCAAGGTAAACAGTTTGGAAAAGAGAGAACCCACCTATGATTTTCTTATAAACGATATTCCTTTCAGCCTTTTGTCTTTTACATTTTCTTTTATTGTTTATAGATGTGGATTATTGCTCCTTGGGATTGCACAACTGTGATCATTATTCTCAATGTATCGACACTGACAATGGTTTTACATGCAGATGTAATCAAGGTTTCACTGGGAACGGTGTTTCTTGCTCTGGTAAGCGATGTAACACTACATGCATGAGCAATTTCTTACCACTTGCATGTTAACTATGCGCAAGCTAACCAGTGATAAGAGTTTAGAATTAGACTGCTTCGTCCTGCCTCCCGATTTAACCCATAGCGAAAAAGCCAAAGGTAATCACGTGGGTGATAGTCTAATTGGTGCGTTTTCCGACTCGCGACAAGTAGGCACGAATCGCGAGAAAATGACTGTCGTGACTGGGCCAAAAAAAGAGCGACTTCAGAAGAAAACGTAAAAAAAAACACAAACACAAACGAATAATTATAATTACACGTAATTTATACGAATAATTATTATAGCACATAATTTTTACGAATAATTATAGTGCACCTTTACTTTCTTGTTGCAAAATTTTATGCCATAGAGAAGAACAAAAAACACAAAAAAGACTACAAAATTATATAAATACAATGCAAATATTATAAAAAAACAAATTCAAAATAGATAACACATTTTGAGAGACTCAAACAAAACACATGTTGAGACTGTGACTTTTCAAATTTATTTCAGAGAGAATGATGTGTGAAATAAGGTAAAAAATTTACAGACTCGACCCGTGTCTTGTTTGAATCTTATATTATTGACTTTCAAGATGTCTTATCTATTTGGAATTTGTTTTTTAATTTCCGCATTATGTTTATATAAATTAAAGTCGTTGAAGTTGTTCGGATTTTTGTTGTATTTTTTGTTCTTCTCTATGGTGCAAAGTTTTGTAACAATAAAGTAAAGGTGCACTATAATTATTCATAAACATTATGTGTTATTATAATTATTCGCGTGTGTTTGTGTTTGTGTTAACGTTTTCCTCTGGAGTCGCTCCTTTTTTGGTCGAGCGGCGCCAATTTTGTCACGACTCGCGCCCACTAACCTACACTAGATGGACAGAGCGCGCAACCTATTTAATCAGGAGCGAAATGGGAGCACGGCAGTGAACTCAAATAAGACTGGAACGCTCACTCTATCGGAAGTTTTAAACCAAGATGGCAGACACTGAAGCTTTCTTGTAGGTATGATCCAAGCCTCCACGCGGAAATTTCGTAGGTAAAATGGCGGCAATTTTTATTTTTTCTTTCAAATTTCCTCGCCAGAGGCCTGGATCATACCTACAAGAAAGGCCTCATGATCCACCATCTTGGCTTCACTCATTAAGCAGGGAAACTCAGAGAGTGAGCGTTCCAGTCTTATTTGAGTTCAGTGGACCACCGTTGCTTACGTGATAAAAGTCCTTGCTTTCATGCATGAATGTGCTGACTAAAAATAACTGGCTAGTAATTTCGGATTTCGGACTGAATGATATTAAAAATTTATTGAAATTCCATGATATAAATTTAGGTTCGATTTCTGAAATTCATCTTATAAATACTAATTACAAACTTCATTTAAGAATGAGCCCGCCCACAAACCAAAACTAATATCGGTCTGCGGTGATTTAAATCGAAAAGAGGACCTATATGACGTAAGCAACGGTGGGTAGGAATTTAGGAACAGTTACTCCAAACAAGGGCAGGTTGAATAATTGCGTTATAAAATCATACGTTCTCAGTTTCTTGTTTTAAGTCTGGGCAGTTTTTTCGTGCATTTACATATTGCCATTCAAAGCGTTTAAAATAGAAATTTAAATCATGATCTTCACAATGACTCGCGAATAGAATATTATTCAGAAATATATACTGTAGAATGTTTACAATGCTCACAGTTTAATTAGGTAGCTTCATTATTACGAGCATGACAAAATAATGAATGCTGATTCCTCGAGAGGAACATTGTTATTTCATTATTTATTTCACTAAAATAAACAAAATTAACGTAAGAAATCAAGAAAACTCATGAATAAAGGTGCGTTTCCCATTTTTCGAATTTTAGGTGATTTAATTATATTATTAATTTTCCATAGACATCGATGAATGTTCAACGGGGAACTGTCACTCAGATGCTTCTTGCAGGAACACTCCTGGATCTTTTAAATGCACGTGTAATGGTGGATTTACTGGAAATGGAACCTTCTGCCAAGGTAGTTGCATGATTATTCTTCATACCAAATTAAATTTCCCTGGGTCTTAAAATGTATCCCGCACAGGAACATCGATGAATACACTGCCTTGCGGTAAATAAAAATCAAAAAACTTTGTTTAGACGAAGATGAATGTTCAGATTCAACATACAACTGTCCTTTAAAGACAAATTGCACCAATACTAAAGGATCCTATTCATGCTGTGAAACACCAAGTTCTGGAATTGGTTCTATTTGCAAAGGTGACCGTAGGTTTGGTTTGTTTGTATATGGTTTAGGGTTTATATCTCGAATTTTGGTCCCGTCGAATGCAAATAAAACAATAGAGTGAAAATGAATAAACCTCATTTAGCCTCACCATCGTTTCATTACCCCATTTTTGATTGCATGCATAAAATGAATTGCATGTGTAAGATGCGAAATATAAATCAGGTTTATAAACTCTTACGCCCTATTTACAACGCACGTGTACTTAAAAAATAGGCAGCGCTCTTCGAATTAGACAACATAAAATTTTCTTTAAACATAAACCTTTCAAGATCTTACACATCATTAAATTCCTGCGATTGATGAAAAATTATGCAACGACTCATTACCAGCGCATGCAGTTGTGTTTCATCCGCGTCGTCCTTGCATGCTTAAAAGACGTTGGACATTGGTCTTAAATCATAATTTCCTATGTTCTAATTTTTGAGATAGTGTGAAACAAAATGCAACTGTTGTCCGCCATTTTAAAATTGCGCCGTATGATAATTTATGTTTGCATACATTATTTACGCCCTTTGTTGGATAATGTGGGTTGAAGGGATGCAAATGTAAGAAAAAGTACGAGAAACAGGAGTTATGTCGTTATTTTCATCACGCTTGTTCCAGTCCGATCGAACTCCTACCGCTTCTGAAAATAACGTAACGACTACTTCACAAGTCCATCAGTTTTTGAATAAAGATGCCGCAAGAGTTCGAATCCGAGCAATGGATGTGAGCATTCGTAAAGATTCCTAAACAAACAATTCGGAAAATAATTTGTATTAAGAAGGAAAAAAAGGGTGGTTCAACTATCGAAGAGGATGGTTAACATTCCTAAAAATAATGACTCACTTTGGTGTTGCTAAAGCCTGTAAAAGAAACATTGTGGTCCGATTCAGCAATTGTTCTCAGCTGGCTTATATCGGTGCCTGCAACTTTAAAAATGTTCAGTGTTTCTAAAGTCCAAGCAGTTTTGGCCTTCTCCTTAGAGAACCCAGCTATAATTAAAATGCTACTGCAAATTTTACATAATTATTCAAATGCGATAATAAAATTAAGAAAGTTAGTGTTTGGTTTTGGTAAAACAAGTTGTCGGTCATTCATTGCGCTTCTCATGTTGTAGCTATTTTTTAAACAGGTACTGAATATCTCGTGTTTTTTTCTGAAAGACATGGCTTGCTTTATTTTAAAAATCTGGTTGCCATAATTTCAGATGCCACTCTCAGATTACAAGGACCAAATAAATCACGTGGTATTGGTCGTGTGGAGATACTATATTTGGGAAAATGGGGGACAATTTGTCATAATAATTGGGACATAAATGATGCTCGCGTTGCATGTCGTCAACTTGGTTATCGGAATGCTCGTAGAGCTCTTCGAGGATGGCATATTCCTGATGGATCTGGAAAAATTTGGTTGGACAGCGTTGGCTGTACTGGAAATGAGCAAAATCTAGAAAGTTGTCCTCACCTCGGTTGGGGATGGACATATTATTACTGCGGACATGATAAAGATGCAGGAGTGGAATGTACTTCACAAGGTAAGAGAGATTGTCCTTTAGGTTTTTAGTTTAGATCAATTTTCTACATAATCAAGATTTCAAGGAAAAAATCCCGCGAGATTATAAAGCAATTTGTTTCAAAGTAAAAATGTTTGAAAAGTTGCACACATGAACTAATGGCTAGAATTTTAAACTCATATCGCAAAAGTGTCAATTTCATAATTTAATCCACACGAATTTCAGCTTCGAAATTATATTCTGTATGAGGGTTTTAAGTAAATATTATGCATTCGTCCAGTGAAACTTGCAATATTTTTGTGTTTTTGATGTGTTGGGAATATGCACTACCTCCCTCTAAAAATCTTCAATTTATCAGGGATTTTTACATTATATCTATATAGTAACTTTTTTTTCTTCAACCCGTCGACAGTGGTTGTGTATTTTGTTATAATTACGCGATGTTCGTTTTACTTGTAATAAGATCTTAATGCCCACATAGACAGAATGCTCATCATACTTCTAAGAGATATAAATTAGTGAAGAGTCTTGCAGAAAAAAATGCTTGAAGTGTAAAAGTTTGTTCACTCGATCCAATCTTGCTGGATCTAAATAACTTATGATGGACGTTTTATAGTCTGTTGTCTTGTAATGTATATCAGCAGCAAATCCACTGAAGCCAATGCACTATTGCTTCATCAATAACCAACATTCGTATAGTCACATAGCTTTAAATAATTACAAATGCAAAGTTTCCCGCCAGGGTAACAAGTGAAGAATGGTTGCCCGCAAATTGTCATAACAAAGACAAAGTAACGTGTTTTTTTTAAAATGAAATTGTTATGTAACATGTATGTTTTTGTTCCTATATAACAAAACACAAAACACTACCTCGGGAAATAGTGTGTTTTGTTTTCCCTCAACGAAAGTCTCAATGTTTCCCTCGACATAAGACTCTCGGGAAACATTCAGACTCTTGGAAAAACTAAACTCACTATTTCCCTCCGGAGCATACATTAAGTGTATAATATTGCATACGTCAGAAGTGATTTGGATCCAACAAAATTGAATAGTGTGAACAGACCTTAATAAACACAAAAGTTTCGTTGTTCTCAAAGATATACATCTCTCAAAATAAGAGTTGCAAATTGCACCGTGTGACACGCCTTTATCCTCAAAACATTTATTTCATCCCATTTCCTCCAATTTCATTCATTTAACCTGAAGCCGCGACTGCCAAACGGTCGATAGCATCCTACACGCCGTTTCTACACAATCATTTTTTGGGTAAGCTTTCAGTGAAATATAAGCGATTTTTGGTAGTTTTTTAAACTCTATTTTAGTCAGTCGGTCAGTCAGTGTTACTGTAGATTATATAACATTTGATTCTTATCATGTGCACGATCGAGGCAGTAAGCATTAATAATTTGCAAAATTTGGAGGATTCCTTTTAATTGTCTCGGATTTTTATTGATCTAATTTAACACTGCAGCTCAGACGAATGGGGCAAAGTGGTATGATAAACATAAAAAGTCAGATTCCTCTTTTTCATTATTGTTTATAGATGTCGATTATTGCTCCTTGGGATTGCACAACTGTAGGGGTAACTCTCGATGTATTAAAACTGACAATGGTTTCACATGCAGATGTAGACAAGGTTTTACGGGCGCCTCTTGCTCTGGTGAGTATAATAATTATATCTTTATTGAAGGACTGCATAATTAATTTTCGTGAAAAATAGCACAAAATTATTTAATAGTGAGCTAGCTCATGATTCATAAAATTACAACGCGTGTGTAAAGCCAAGCTTTTCGTTTTCTACAAATTTTCAATGCAGGGAATAAAATAGGGCTCTTCTGGCTCTTCTGCCTTGGGGTGGGCAATATTTCCCTTTTTTAACCGTTGACCATATCATCCCCGATCCGGTGGGGCTCTTTTACTATTATGTGCTTGCTGTATAAAGAAGGATGCAGTTTATTTATCTTGATACGTCGTTTTCCAAGTTCATATTGGATTGGGCTATCAACGGTTCTAAACCTGTATGTGGATATATATGGTTTTGCATGTGCATGCATGTATTTCTAGTCCAGAACATTAAGGTGGGACTAGTACGTAAAAGTATATGTTTGCTTTTTTATGTCTACATGCAGATTAGATAAACTTTCAGGATGAAAACATGTGAGTTGATTATTAATCAAAAATGTACTTTATTGGTAGCCGAGATGAACAAAATGGGACTTATATTTCCGTAAAAACAGACCTGGGTTTTTGCAGACCTAACCTATCCTGCATCATCAGCTAAGCTATGATATAAACTGCTTGTGTTGCTACCACAATCACGCAAGACCTTGGACATTGTTGACCCTGAGTTATTGCTGATAAAGATTATTAATTTCCATTATACATCAACCAGGGGAATTTCGTTTTAGACCAATCAGCATATTTGTTTACATTTTCAGTAAGCGTATCGGAATGCATAAATCTTGACTACTTACTTCCGGTATTAAATATTTAGGATTCTGATTAGCTCTGCCTGAAAAATGAAAAATGTTCAGATTTGTTCAAAACAAAATTCTTCCTTGTTTAATACATCCCTAGATATCAATGAATGCTTGTCGCCTGACACCTGTCATCCAAACGCTACTTGCGTCAATAATCACGGATCTTACCGATGCACATGTAAATATGGATATACTGGGAATGGAACTATTTGCCAAGGTTTGAAGTTAGCCTCATATACACCCTCAGATCATAGCCTTTATACCTAAGCTCAACCTAGGTGAATTTCTAACATGAACATAAATTCAAACTTCTTTATCTGGTATAGACATCAATGAATGCTCTCAGTCTACTGCCAGGTGTCCTTCAGTCGAATATTGCTCCAACATCCCAGGATCATTTCTATGCTGTATTAGTGAACCTGGAAGAAACGAATCGACTTGCAAAGGTAAATAAAACTTCAATATGAAATGTGTATTGTGATACATATTTGTGATGTTGCTACTCTGAGTCACCAACCGGGTAAGCTTAAGGATCAGCTTGACCACGGTGGGAATCGAACCCGCGACCTTTGGTTTGCTAGTCCCATGCTCGTCCAACTGAGCAACTAGGTCAAGACGGTTCGAGTAGTTGATATTTCGGAACTCAGTCTAGTTCCTTCTATATATAGATCTGTGCTCCTCAAAGTTATAGTGATAATGCAAAGACCCTATTTCTTGTCTCGTGACTTTCATTTTCTTAAGAAAACATTTTCTAACATATTTCTCAAACAAAGAGAATATTTCCTAAAATAAGAAATTGATTTTTGCCGTGTAGTGTCTTAGCCCATGCACTGTACGGTCTTACTAAATTAATTTGAAAGCTTTTTTATTTTTAACTTTTATCCTGCATTACTCGAACCTTCAGAACCCTCGATAAAGTTAGAAGGACCATTGATTTCAAATAATACTGGCCGTGTTGAAGTATACCATGATCGACAATGGGGGACAATCTGTGATAATAATTGGGATATACATGATGCTCAAGTGGCATGTCGTCAACTTGGTTTCCCTGGTGCTATTCGAGCATTGCCCCCCCATGAAGTGCCCGATGGTTTTGGTAAGATATGGTTAGACAAGCTTGAATGCACAGGTCGTGAAAACAGTTTATCTAGTTGCCCTGGTGTTGACTGGTTCGCACGTAAATTTTCCTGCCACCATTATAAAGATGCCGGAGTAGAGTGTGGTGTAAGAGGTAAGATTAACAATCAGTACTTATATAAATAGTACAATAGGTCTATGGTGCTGGTGTATATAATTATTGAGTCCGTTTAGCTTAAACGGTGGCTAAGTTCAAAATAGAAAGCAATTCTATCGTTTTATTCAACGGGCATATTAATTTTTTTAACCTTAATAATTTATACTGTTTACAATAATTATACAATATACTGTTTACAACAAATTTTCGTGAATACATGCGGGATGTAAGTACCTACCCAAAATGGCGGCCGGCAGAAGAATCTGATTGGTCGATCATACTTTTTTTACTTTTTTCGACCAATCAGATTCTTCTGCCGCCGCCATTTTGGGTAGGAACTTACATCCCGCATGTATTCACGAAAATTTCGGCCAATTTACAAAATTTGTGTACGTTTTTCCAGCGCTTTCCTTTGAATTCAGCATTATTTTTATTATGAAAGTATAGTTTGATTATTCAACTTAAACCTACGGTAGGCATTTAGCAGTCGACGTGTCGTTTTATTATAGTAATTTGTGTTTTAATTTGTCAACATGTTGAAAATTGAGGCGAGAGTTTCCTTCCTTCCCAATAAAATAGTAAGTTACGTCCAGTTACGTCCAGTTACGTCGCTAGTTGCATAGTCAAATGGCAGCGCCACTGGAGCACGCTACATACATGGTTCTAACAGTAGTTTTGTAGCAAATTACATACTTTAATTTATTTTAGCACATATCTCAAGTTTTTTACGGATTTTTATTGACTTCAACTCATTTGTCTGGGCTTCCTATGGTTATAGGTCTCAATGTTTGAAATATATCTCTTTCAATTTTTACATAGCATTCAATATTTACATAGCATTCAATATTACTTTCAGGTGTTGATTATTGTTCCACCGGATTGCACAGCTGTCATAGAAATGCTCAATGTGTTACAACTGTTGGTGGTGGCTTCTCGTGCAAATGTAATCAAGGTTATACTGGAACTGGCTTTTCTTGCAATGGTTTGTAATGTATACAGCTATTAAATAATTATTCTGTCTTGACGGTTTCTAAATAAGGGTTAGAGACTGTTGTGAGTGTTTTGTTCACAAAAAACGCACGCGCTGAACAAACAATGAACCAAAAAAAATTGATATTAATATTGAGACCGTAGGCCGAGTGCGATATTGAAATTTCGAGTTCATTGTATGACCGGCAAGTGCATATTTGTAAACAAAACAGGAACATAAATTCTGCAAATATTTAATCTGAATTCATTGATTGCTGCATTGAAGATCAAAGCTTCGCTTTAGGCTGTCATTTAAAGACTGTTGTGAGTGTTTTGTTGACAAATAAAGGCACGCGCGCTGACCATATAATGAACGAGAAATTTGGGGACATTACGCAGTGTTCGAAACCTTTCGTCCAATTGGAGAATGCTTTTCTATGCTTTCTACGACGCTACGTCGCTATTGTTTAAAACAAAGTTTCGCAGTGTTTAACTATACGTCCCATATTATTGATATAAAACGACTAAAAAAAACATTTGAGTAAGTGCTATAGATTCAATTAATGCTGATGATAGTGAATAGTGAAATTTTTAAACAAAAGCGACGTTGCGTCGTAGATTTCGTGTTTTTAAATTCGCTAAACTGTACATGAATTCAAACTGATTTTGACTCAGATATATGTTCAATTATCGAGAACATGTTGAATGCGAGAAAGTTAGCTAAACTTTTTTATGATGGTAATTGGCAGATTTATGAATTTAAACCTAGACATCAATGAATGCTCATCACCTCACATCTGTTATGCGAACGCTCTTTGCACCAACACTCCTGGATCTTACCAATGCACATGTAAAGGTGGATTCATTGGAAATGGAACAGCTTGCGAAGGTATTTACATGAACTAAAAAATAGTATTTCATTACCTGACTTTAAGAACCTATTGAAAAGACGGTGATCGAATATACCATTTGGCTATAGACTTTCCTTCTTCATTCCTTTCCATTATACCATTTTCTACTCAGTAATTTCCTCATTGTATTGCATTATATAGTATTATATTGTATTGCGAACATGTTACAGTATTGTATTGTTTGGTATATAGTATGGGATGGTATCGTTCAGTATTGTATTGTATTGTGTTGTATATATGTGTTGCTGTAAATAATGCATTTTTACTTTTGAAATTATGTAACATATAGATGCAGGAGCCCACTGAAAAACACTTCGGTGACGTCGGTATCCTGGTTAAATATGAAGTTAATAATAATTTCGACGTTTCAGATAAAATAATCATTTTCAATCCTATACAGTGCTCCGTATGCAGTTATCGCGAACTTTCAATAATTTATTTTTGGACACGATGAAGTAGGAAATTTTATAATAGTTTTAAAATAATCTGCCAAATGCTTCTTAGATTATGATGAGTGTTCTAATTCCGCGCACAACTGTCGTGCAACAGCAACTTGCAGAAACATTGTTGGCTCATATGAATGTTGTTTTAGACAATCTGATGGAAGTGGTGTTACTTGCCAAGGTAAATAAAACAAAGCCTAACCATATACCCGCTTTAGCAAATACGATATTAAACGAAGCCTATCCACATACGTGCCCTCTTTTAAACCTACATATGCGAAAATCTGCGCCTGGGGTACTAAGAACCAAAATTAATTGAGTGAAAGGTGAATTCTGCCATTTCCATGCGTTCCATTACTCGTGTATTACGTGAGAGAAAGAATCGTGCGAATTCAGTTTCCTTATTTTAGTTCAGTTTGCATGCTGTTTGAGAGAGTAAGGCCGCCGTTGATGGCAAGCAAGCAGGGCAGCTGAACATGTGCCGTTTACAAGCGGGCCTTTTTATTTTAACGATTACATTCAGTCATTGTCTGAAGTAGAAGTACGCCAGCGAGCATCAAGAATATCAAAATCATCTTGTGAAAATTTATCTTGAAAGCCACGATGAAACGAAGTTAAATAGACCATTTTTTGCAAAAAAAATTATCATACCAGGACCGCAGAGCAGGGTGGCTCGCTGTGCTTTAGGCCCACCTATAATTTTTCCGTAATTATAAGTCTTAGATTTCGAATATTTTTTTGTCCGCTCAAATTTACAAGCATTATTGCTTACAAGTATATGCAGTGTATTTTATCTTGAATACTATCGTAACTTTTACTTCTTCAACGTATATTTTAATAACCAATCAGTCAAACAAAATACATATTCTAATTCCGAACGATATCAGTCGTAATAAATCCGGTAAGTTTACAAATCGACTTAATTAAATTAGTTATGCTCAGTATAAATTTATATACGTTTGGCCAAAATAATAAAAAACATAGAGACAAAGTATCTACTATTTCATAATAATCCTTAAATTGAGAGGCACTTGCGGCTATTTCAAAGGTCTGTATTGTAAAATTTTCCCTTGGCAGACCCGCGGTTCAGGTACCGAGCGCCAGCAATACGAAAAACGCTCCGCGATCCCTGCACGCGCCGCTACAAAAGTGCCTTTAACCAAAACCTTCCCCTCCTTGCCTCTGCGTTGTTCCGTCGTTGCTTTGAAAAAGAAAAGCCGTTCCCAGATAAGAAATAATAATTAAGTTATATATTTCGTTTTCTTGTGTTTTTATATCTAAAATGAAACGTGGTTTGCGTCATGACAAATACAAAATTTTCAGAGATGACTGTCAGATTGCGAGGACCGTTAAGTTTCAATGGTACTGGTCGTGTGGAAGTGCGCCTAAATGGAGAATGGGGGACAATCTGTGGTTTTCGTTGGAGTATAAATAATGCTCGAGTAGTTTGTCGTCAACTTGGTTATCAGAATGCTCTCAGAGTTCTTCCAAGATGGCAAGTTCCTGATGGTTCCGGTAAGATTTTGCTGGCAAGGGTTCGTTGCACTGGAAACGAGCAAAATGTGCAAAGTTGTCCACGTGGCTATCGAACATGGCTTAGTTACTGCAGTCATTACTACGATGTTGGAGTGCAATGTTCTTACGAAGGTAAAAAATAATTCAACAATGAAAGGGGGGAAAAATTTATAATTAGGGTAAAGACGTTTATCATAACAGAACTAAAAATATTTAACACTCCGACATTTTTCAAAGACGGTCGATCCAGAGTGGTCCATCTAATTCTGTGTTGTATTATATTGTGTAATTATATTGCATCCATTGTATTTTATTGTATTATATTGTATAATTCATTTGATTGTTTACATGTTGAAATCATTTTCTGCCAGACGCTTCCTTTGCCAAAACCACCCCAAGCACCCCGGCCCGTGCCCCCGCTTTTTACTCAGCTGACCTCTATGGAATAACTGAATAAAACATTTTTTTTCTTTAAAAGCGCCAGGGTACGAGGCTGGATCTCTATAAAGAATTCAAATTAATTTAATTATAATGTTTATAGATGTTGATTATTGTTCCTTGGGACTTCACAACTGTAATTCTCGTGCTCAATGCATTAACGAAACTAATGGTTTTTCATGCAGATGTAATCCAGGCTATACAGGCAACGGTGTTTCTTGCAATGGTTAGTGACAACTATCTTTAGATTTCAATGTAATAACGGGACTAAACAAAATACTATAAGTCAAGCGTGTGACATTAAAATTAATTTATAACACTATGCCAATAACGCGGTATCCCACTTACAGCGAAATCGTTCGCTAGCAAAATGTTTGCATATTTTCTTATGAATTGAGAACGTAAAGTCGCACTAATTTATTTATGCTGTTAAAATTCAAACGAAAATCTGCAAATATTTCGTGAGGGAACGATTTCGCTGTAAGTGGAAATCCACCTTTAAATTTCTCTCGCGCGATTTCCTGCGAGGACTCCACGCACTCATTGAACAGAATAGCGGAAATAGTGTGATTGTTTGTTTAAAACAAAGTAATGTTAGAATATGGTTGCTAATTTCCTTTAATCTTTTTTTATAGACAGAACAGAAATTCTGCATGATTTAAGAATGGAATGTTCATATTTTTGCCATCTGGGAAATTCAGTTATCATTCATTGCTATATTTCTATTCATATTTCTTTTAGACATCGATGAATGTTCATCTGCAAAAATCTGTGATCAGTCAAACGCTGTTTGCACAAATACTCCTGGATCTTACCAATGCTATTGTAAAAGTGGATTCTTTAAAAATGGAACTGTTTGCCAAGGTATTGGTTTACTTCGTTATCAAATAACAGAATTAACCATTTTTTTGTTTTGCAATTAATGTAAACAAAAATTTGATTTGACTTTTATCACCATGCTTAGATAAAGGTAAATGTTCTGATTAGTAAACATGATTGTAAATTAACCTGCGATGGCGAATACAATTTCAGATGAATAATAGTACGAGTGTTTCAAGATTTGGAAAATTTGACAAACCGCCCGAACGATCCGAAAATCACTCGTACTACAGGTTGTATTAAAAATCAGACAATTGTTGAAATGTCCAAATACTGAAAATTTTGAAAAATGTGTGAAGAGCTTCTGTAATTGAAGTAGGTATTTTAGGGTCTCTTGACCACTTTATCACTGAAATTGAATAAAAAAAATTTAATCAAAATATAGGAAAAGCTATTTTTCAAGCTCCATCTAAAACAAGTATTGCATGCACACAAAAATGGGCGGCCTCAAATTATCATAGGTTGACGTTTTGTTTAATTTTCATTTACTATCAATGTTCCAGACTATTTGGTGTAGCTACATTAAATCAACAACCTCACCTCACCTCACCTCACCTCACCTCACCTCATTCCTCCCCCCTCCTCACCTCACCTCACCTCACCTCACCTCACCTCACCTCACCTCACCTCACCTCACCTCACCTCACCTCACCTCACCTCACCTCACCTCACCTCACCTCACCTCACCTCACCTCACCTCACCTCACCTCACCTCACCTCACCTCACCTCACCTCACCTCACCTCACCTCACCTCACCTCACCTCACCTCACCTCACCTCACCTCACCTCACCTCACCTCACCTCACCTCACCTCACCTCACCTCACCTCACCTCACCTCACCTCATTGTACTGCGCCGTACAACGGGATGGACGTGGAAGAATGGTTACGCGCCCCTCCACCTGCATCCGCGTTTAGCTTCTACCTGTCCCGCGCTGAATAGAATATCGCCCCTTTTAGATCTGGATGAATGCTCTGGTGCGGTTTATAACTGTCCTGTAAACACAAACTGTGCCAATACAGTTGGAACTTATCTTTGTTGTGAAGATTCGGTTTGTACAGGTAATTGATAGAATTTAATATATAATAGATTGATTTGAACATGTTTGGAAGAAAAAAATCGTGCACTTAAAGTCAGTTAGAATATCCGGAAAGTCATTTTCTTTAGATATATAGCCAATTGCAAAATACTTCGCATTAAAAGCAATGACGCAGTGGCCACAGGATGGGTTTAAAAAATGCAAAACACTTAAAAACGCATTTAAAACTCTCCCTATTTTCGCATGTTTTGAAAAATATTTAAAACAAGAAATTATATCGGCAAGACTTGGCAACATTTAAGCAAATAACGCGCGAGAATGACGAATCTCGTACTCGAAGTCACTGCTAAAACTATTACCGTAAAATTGGCTCTAGAGACTCACCTGTTCTCAAATTTCTTCCAATTATTTTGTCTAAATTATTAGAGCCACGCATCAGATTACAAGGTCCGTTAATTTCAAATGGCACTGGTCTTGTGGAAGTATTACATGCTGGACAATGGGGAAGAATCTGTGATGATAATTGGGATATAAGAGATGCTCAAGTGGCATGTCGTCAACTTGGTTATCTGGGTGCTCTTCAAGCTCTTCGCGGGTACATGTACAAGGGTTCAAGACGGTCATGGCTAAACTCTGTAAACTGCGCTGGGAATGAGCAAGAACTGTCCAATTGTTCTTCTCGAGGGTGGCGACGCCATTACTGCTATTATTATGGCAACGCTGGAGTAATGTGCTCGTTTGAAGGTGCTTTACGTTATTCTTATAATCTGGTCAATCTATTTTGCAACTATAATTGATTTTAATTTTTCTAGTGTAACTATTCTAGCAGAAGGTGTCAAACAAATTCTACATGTATTATTGTATATAGATGTCGATTATTGTTCTTTGGGATTGCACGACTGTCGGAGTAATTCCCAATGTATTGCCGATACTGAGATTGGTTTTACATGCAGATGTAAAAAAGGTTTTACCGGGGACGGCGTTACTTGCTTTGGTGAGTCATAATTATACAGATTATATAAAAAAATCGCAACCGCAAAAATCTTCCCAGAGGCATACGATCTTCTCTTATTGAATAGAAGCGAACATATACTGTATTTGGATACTAGCTAAGTAACGGTAATGTATTGTTTGCATGCATATTTAAACAAGGCTAAACTAAAATGGCGCAGCTTGCAGCGGTGAGTTAAATTGCAAAACCGCAAAATAATTTATTTAGCAAAATTTAAAAAAATGTAATTGTTCTGATCCTTTAGTTATTATATAATTACGTTAAGAATTCAAGATATTTCATTGGTCAAGTGTCATGATCTGTGAGAGGACAGACGAACGGATGTCACAGATAATTTCAACCAATTTGATCAGTCATATCTTGATTTATTTTGTCAGCCAATCACATTTTAGCACGTGTTTGAAACTAGCCATTACCATTTCTTCAATCCTGTTGATGATGTACGCGTGATATTTGCAAAATTTTTACTTTGACAATTTTCTAAGTGTTGGGGAAACTGTTTGTCTGTTTAATCTTGGAATTTTATATATAAAACAAATGGACGAGTGGTCACCTTTTGTTTTTATCAAAAATGACGTCATACCGTGTTCTATAAACTGGGCAGTTCAATGTTACCTGGCCTATTTGTTAATCACACAGCCTTACACCTTGTAATATGCCATCTACGCTATTTTTGAAAATAGCATTACATAATTTTATATAGGTTACTGCTTGCCTGTAATTTTAATAGCCTGACGATGTCTTTGGAACATAAAGAGAAAATATCACGGTCTCTGTATTTTATCTTGAATAACAAGAACTTTATTTTGTACCTTGCGAAGTTAGGTCTGCTTTGCTTGCCTTGGTAAACCGCCCCAGCCACCCCCGCGCGCTCCCCTTTTTTCAACTGATTTCTATATACAATAACTAAATGCAACGTTATATATTTCACTATTAAACGAGGCTGGGTTATTTCGATAATTAACTGATCAATTATGTATTTTTAACAATGTATATTGAGAATAATACACGGATGTGCGGAACTTTGTTTCGAGTGCATGCTACACGATTCATGAAATAAATACCAAGCATTCATGTATAATTTATTTGTTTTTATTGTAACAAAACTGTTTTTAACAAATTTTTACCCCATCCGACCAATCATATGTTGTATTATCGCTTTTCACAAAGGCAGATTCGCGAATAAAACACTGCATATATTATTATTAAGTATTTTATTTTGAAATTTATCCCTAGATATCGATGAATGTCTATCAATTTACGATAACTGTTCTTCGAAAGCTTTTTGCACCAATACTGTTGGATCGTATCAATGTACATGTCGTAATGGATACACAGGAAATGGAATTATCTGTGACGGTGAGCACTTGTTTTGAATTTTTAATGTACTTATAAAAATGTAAATCCTTAGAAAAAAACCCATTGGAAATTCAACAGTTTCATAAAATCAAAACTCTTCCCTTCAGATGTCGATGAATGTTTTCAAAGTATTCATGTCTGTCCTTCAACTTCAAACTGCCAAAACACCGTTGGATCTTTCCAATGCTGTTCTAGTCAAAGTGGGATTTGCCGACCAGGTATGTAAGTAATATTTAAAAGAAACAAAAAATAACATTACACATTTCAACTCATTTTGTAAACAGGCTAAAATTTAATTAGGAATAATCGAGTATTTTTTACATGCTTGAAGCCTTTAGTTTTTGTTTTATTTTATATTATAAATTATACATATTATAAACTCCATTTATCATGTTAGCCTCAACAGCCAGTAGTTGGCTGCATGCTTTCCATGAAGGTATTTAAGCTAAACTATTTACAATGAATAAGAATATAAGGTACGGGAAAGAAGGAAGAGCAGTATGAAGATAACGATCAAGTTTCAACCCATTCTTTCGTCTCAAAATCGATTTTAAAGAAATTATGGTTCAGCATTTTATATGATGCATTATAATTGAAGCACCTCTGTTTCTAAGTTTGTACATAATATTTCTTTCATAGTTCAGATGATTTCGTAGTTCAGCCTGCTTCAAGAGGTCGCTAATTTAAACTTTTAGGCAATTCAAATGACCAATGGCCTTTTCTTTTTTTTCCATTGAGAGCTGGTGATAAAAGCCTCACTGAATTACGTAATCTCGCTTAACTTCTTTACCATAACACCCTAGGGAAAGTTATCAGGTTACAAGGACCATTTAGTTCAAATGGTACTGGTCGTGTGGAGGTATTCCATAATGGACAATGGGGAACAGTTTGTGATGACAATTGGAATATCGAAGAAGCTCGAGTTGCATGTCGTCA